GGAGGGCAGGTGCTGCTCACACACACCTACGGATCATATTCTGTGCGATCCATTGAAGCATATTATCGATCGATGATAACTATAGAGACCATAGAAACCACACAATCAATAGTCATATAGACTTTCCCCCGTATATCCTACTCTATAAGATGAGACTACCAGTGCTTTTGCTCACAAGAAAAAACACGTAAACCATTGAATGAATTGATTTTGACTTCTTTTGATTGTTTAGTCCATCGCTTGTTTACTGAGAAAATGGATCCCAATTGTCATACCAATTATGTCTCATTATCTTAGCTACCAGTCCCTTCATTAATATACTGTTATATGAGTGACTCCTAAAAGTATATATCGATTCCACTCTCGTGTATACCATTTAAAGCACATCTTATTTCGCATTTTATTGTCCCTTTAATTCAAGTTTTATTACATTTTTATTGTTATTATAAAACTTCATATTATAGTGTCATTCAATTTAATATGAATTATATTCTATAGTTTTAAATAATTATTTAATTAATCGCACATTTAGTTGTTTTCTTAAACACACCAAGGTAAGCTTTAATTGAAATAAATCTATTTTTAATATACGCTTAAATATGAAGATAAATATTTTTATTGTTAATGCTTTTTATGAGACTTATATTAATGAATAATTCATTGCATTTGATCATCAATTATGAGATTTAGATATAAAGAGAGTATACTTCAGACAAGTGCTCTCTCTCTCTCTCTCTCTCCTCTTTTTAATACAATTCATGAATAATATTTTTTACAGAATTTGATATTTAAATATGGTTTTCATGTGTTTTCATGCAAATTCAATTTATTTTCTGTGCAAAATTAGAGAGAGAGAGAGAGAGAGAGAGAGAGAGAGATTTAATGATATATATAATTATTATACCATACTACTATTTGCGAAATAAAACTATTAATAAAATTTTCAATTAATATAAATTTACTAATAATAATAACAACAACAATAATAAATAACACAATTTATGTTTTATTAGAAACCCTAAATATAGTCATAAATTATAATTATAATGAGATTTACATTACACCAGAAAATAATGGACACAAACCGAGACTGGGGTTCATTCCCGAGACAGGGATACGACGACTACTCCAACACTAATAACAATATGACCGACAATAGGATGGCGTCGGAGAACCTAATGACAACACAGACCTCCAACTCACAGCCCCTGACCGCCGGTCGACCCCCACCCCCGCCGCCACAACAGCCCACTAGCAGTCACTTGGATTTCCTGTGGATTCACGTCAACAAAGAGTTGTTTATATCAAAGATTTTCTACTTCTTCTTCTTCTCGGCTTTCGGTTCACTCTTTCCACTAATGGCTGTATATTTCAAACAATTAGGAATGAATGCAATACAGGCCGGTATGTCGTCCAACAGAATCGCAGAATATTCTGTATTTCATTATAACACATATCGTAACTTATATCAAGAATTTCGTACAAAATTTTTAAGAATAAAACTCTAGCCTTAAATAAATATTAGCGTTGAGTCTTACAGTATATTACATAATAGACTAATAACAAATAAAACAGGTGCCTTTCCCTTCTCAACAATATGTATCGTGTTTTACAGAATCCCAGAATATTCTGTTTCATGACAGCATAAAACACATAAAAACTTAACACATTTTTAAGCACACAATATTATCCTAGTGTATAAATATTTGCTTAAAGTCTTACACAACGATTACATAGTGTTATACATACAGTACATACTAACTCATAGACTGATCCCTGTCCCTATACCCCACCCCCACCAAACTCCAGGTACACTAATAGGCATTCGGCCGTTCGTGGAGTTCTTGGCGGCGCCCTTCTGGTCATCACTGGCCGATCGGTTCCACAAAAGCAAACTCTTTCTCCTGTTTTCTCTGGTCTGTTGGATAGTCTTCACGTTCAGCCTGGCCTT